GAGAAGATCAGCCAGGCTGGGATTTTCCAGGATAAAACAACCTCCCTGCCTGCTGATAGCAGCAGTTTGTGGTTTATATGAGTTTCACTTTATTAAGTTTACTTTTTTTACATTCCGTTCCCCCCACCCACCCAGTTTTCTCTCTCTCTCTCTCTCTCTCTCTTTCTTTCTTTCTTCCATTCCCCATACCTTTCTTTTTTTCTTCCCATTCCCCCTCCCTTTTCTTCTTTCTTTCCATTCCTCCCTCTCTTTTCTTCTTTCTTTCCCTCCCTCCCTCCCTTTTTTCTTTCTTTCTTACTTACTTAAACACAGATTAAGAAGTTGCCCTTTAAATGGAATTTTAAACGGAGGCTTAAGCTACATCGAACTGTGCTCCGTCCCGAGTGGAATTCCTTGGGACGAAAGGAATGGGTGGGCGGGCCTGTCCTCCCCTCCGGCCTCTCCTGCCAGCCCTTCCCGGGGCCCAAAAAGCCTCTGAGCTCAGTTTAGCCCGCATGACAGGACCGGCGACGGGGGTGGCAAAGGTAATGTCCTGCCCCAAGGCAGCTTGAATCCCTGCATGTGCCTGCTTGGCCGAGAGCCTGTCCCGTTGGCTGAAACTGGTGGCCCGATTGTTTTCTAGGCTTAGTAGAGGTAGACTGAAAACCAAAAATATTTTAACAGTTTAATTCTTTTGAAAATAATCTTACCTGAATCTTTGCTTGCAGTTTTTCTTTCTCTCTGTCAAGTTCCGCCTTCAGTAAGTCAAAACCATTTGTTAACTAATTAAAAAAAAAAATGAAGCTTTAGAGGTTTTCCCGAAAATAAGACAGGGTCTTTTGATCCCTGAAATATGGCCTTGGCCTTATTATTGGGGGGGGGGGAGCTTATTATTTTCTGGCAGGTGGGGTGGGTGAGAAGCGAGACACGCATCTTACCTTTCCAGCTCCGTTGTGTTCCTCACTATTGTGTCCAGGAATACACGTATAAAAACCCTTCTCGGGAGTTCAATCAAACTTTTTTAAAAAAATATTTTTTTTTATTTTCAGACAAACACAAACACACAACACATATAACATAAAAGCCTCTTCAATTACACATAGTATGTCAATTGGTTACAAGGTGTCCTTTCCATAGTCATCACTTGAATTTTATCAAAATTCACATATTGACAATCAAGATATTTTTGTACACATTGTTATTATGTTTCCTCCTATTCTAAGTCATTCTATAATTTTAGCATTGATAATATTCTCTAATAATTTTCAATTCCATGTTCCCCCCCCCATTATTAGTATCCTCAATCTAATGTACATGTATACAAATTGTTATAATAATTAAACATCCATTAAGCCTAGCTATTATTACATCCTTTCAACATAAGGCATATTAAATCTAAAGTAATTTTATATTATGACATTTTATTATATCATCCTGAAATCATCCAATGATATTACATCTTTATATTCTATTCTATAT